AATAACTTTCATTAGAGCATCTTGGCCTCATCATAATCATGATTATTTGACATAACATCTATCGTCATCATTGAAAGTTCATCACTGTCAGTTGACATATTATAATGATCAAGCTCTCACTGAAGATCTTTCCCTACAGAACACCTCCTGGTGATCAGGCTACATTCCACTTCCTTTCAACTTTTCTTGATACTCAGCTAGAATGTACATACAAGTAAGTCACAGTWAAATCWTTATCACTTGATAGTGACCAAATGGTCTTGGCTTTGGGTTTCCTGTTCTCATGATAATGATGGGGGTTGGCCAAAGTATAAACCACAAAATATGACAGCTGCCAATCAAAGTTTCCAGTGTTAATTGATGATGCATATGAATTTTCAGAAAAGGTGAAGCTTTATTCAAGTCTGATAACATTTCTACCATATCGATCATCAAAGATGTTCTTACCAAGGAAGCCACAAAAAGAAAGATTAACTTAAATATTTCATATGGTAAGAATTAAAAATTTTGTATTTAGTGACTGTGTGCTTTTACAGTGTTGCTAAATGTGCGTAGTAGACATGATATAATTTGGTTTAACCCCAAGGGTGTAATCATATCTGCTAGGTCACGCTTTAAGCATTAAAATAATGTACCTTAGTTTGTACCTTTGGTCTGGGGTAGGGTATATAAAACCACAAAAATTGGTCTGGGACAGGGTAAGGGTTTTGAGGGTCATGTGGCACGCCCCCACCCAAGTTGGGATCAAGTACCTCCCCAGGGTTTTAACATTGCCCTAGTGCAAATCTTAGACAGGAGCCTGTAAGATCCTCCAGGATCTTCAATAGGATARTTCTTACACAGGATTTAAATTGCAGGATCCTGTCTAAGATTTGCACCCAATACATTTGTGATCAAGAAATGCAAAAACCACTGTCTATGGCATTTTTTTTTACCTATACATGTGTTGTGCATAAAGGCTCAAAAGGAGGGTTAAGGAATAATTAAGTACAACCCTTACTATGAAATAAGCCATTCTCAAGATGTTTCTTTCCTTCCCAGAACTAAGTGAAGAATCTGTGGTCCATACACTAAATTTGATTCATCCAAAGCTGGAATACCAGTTGTTGCTTGCCAAGCGAGTTCAGTTGATAGAAGGGCTAAAGGTATGTCATTTGCCCAATATTCATCTCTCAATCCATTCTCTTTCCTTCCTTTCCTTCCCCTTTCWTTCCTCCCAACCTCCCTCCTTCTTGCTTAATGAATATGCTTTTTTTTCTTCAAGGAGTTACAAGTTCATGAAAGTGACATCAGCTTTTTTGATCCAGACTATATCCAGGTGTTAGGTATGAGCAGAAACCTATAMGTTTCTGGTATTAGAAAATAGACAATAAGATTGACTATCTATTTATTAAAAAATACTTCATCAATATTGCCATGATGGTAAATTTTTTTCTATTCTTTAGTAATTCTCTGTAATGAGAAAATGCAACATGTAGATCAACAACCCATCAGTAGACACAACATATTGTGCCATTTGCTGAATGATGCCTTATCAACATTTTGAAGGAGTTTTAGAACCAAATGTAAAATATAAATGCATATTTTCTATGATTTCAGAGGATGCAGAGAAACTACAAGCAGAATACAAGAAGCAACCYTGTCATCTGGAGCGACTGTATGGTATCCTTTGTCAAATGTATGCAGTCATAGGTTTAGGGTAATACAACTGCAGGTGTTAAGGTCAGAATTGGGCTGGTATGTTGAGATATAGATTGTTAAGTGCACGTTGATGACAGCTTTAGGGATTTATTTTGAGAATGGCAGATTGTAACACATGCAGGTTTAGCTGGGTAGAGTAATTGGATTGGGAGTTAAAGGTAGATGACAGGTTGAGAGTCTGAGTGGCTGTTAATCAAAGTAGGTTTGGGTATAGATTGGAGGGTGAGTTGTTGACAGTTTTTTTTACTATTAATAATGAAAATATGTCTTGTATCACAGGTAGCTAGGTTGGGGTATAGATTAGAGGTGAATTGATGACAGGTTGAGAGTTTTTTGTACTTTGGAAATATGGATGGTAATACATGTAGAAGTTTGGGTATAGATTGGGAGGTAGGTTGATAGGCTAAGAGGTTTTAGTTGAAAATTGGGCTGATGATAGATTTGTGATAGATTGGGTTAGTTGATTGTTATGACCAACAATCATAAAAAGGTGGCCATGGGTGCTGGGTAGGTGGATTCAGCCCGACTTGTGTCCAGTCTGTGTTGAATTGAAGTTTAAATGATAATGACCCTTAACCAAGGAACCTTGAAGGAATGATAACTGACCTGTACATTGACAAGTTCAAATTCAAGGTATTTTATACATGATTTTGTACGGGTACTGAAACAATTCACAAAGACACACCACCCCCAGAGCAGTCGTAGAGTTTTATCTATAGCTCAAGTCATTGTAAATTAACTACTTTGAACTTAGCAGTAGAGCACACCAAAAACACATTATATTAATATGTAGACTGACAGCAATATTTCATCTCAAAATTCGTAGGGGGGAAGGTACGTTTATCATTGGGGGGGAGGGGGGGTCTGGAGTGGGAGAGAGAGGAAGGTCATATATCATTTTTGCAAGCTTTAGGGCAGGGTCACATCTTCACTCGAAAGCTTATTTAGAGGAGGGTCATCCTAGTTTTTAAGGTTGAGCGAAGAAAAAATGTTATACCATCGAGTCGATTTTTCATGGACCGACAAATAGGCTTCCAGCGAGTACGCACATTCCCTTCTCAATGCGTACTTCCCGACGGGTCCCAGCCAGCTGTAAGTCACAAATGGTTGCCAGCAAGAAATTCAGGAAAAAAGAGCTCTCCATGCAAGGAATACGTTCTAAGAATATTTGCCTGGAAAATAAAATTCCTAACTAACAACTTAAGCCGTTTTATACAATAAAAACGTTATCAAGCCTTTTTTGACCTTAAAAATGTTTGCCAGGAACAAAATTGATTTTAAAAAAAAGGAAGGGCGCCAGATTTGCTTGTGAGATTGTCAACAATGAATCTCCAAAATCCCTTTCCTAGGAAAATTCATACAAGAACAGTTAGTTAGAAGAACAGACCCCTTCAGCTCCTCCTGCTTCTTGCGTCCATGTACCAGCAAAGGAAACAAATATTTGTTGAAACGTTGACATGAATAATAGTATACCATGCCTGAAGATTCATTTCTTATATTTTTGTCTACAGGGAATGAATGTCAAAAGCAAAGTACCAGTGCTGCTTGAAATACTTGATAACTATGATTTACAACAATTGTGTGATTTCTTTGAATCATAATGATCTTTTAAGAAGAAAATCTCAAAAAA